GTTTGAAAAAATTGGTATCGTTGCATCCCTACTTCACATCTCAGTATATGTCAATAAAATGTGGTTTGACGGCCTTTACATGGCCCTTAGTTTACATGGGTTTTTTTTTAAAGCTTAAAGTAAATGAGTCACATTAATTTAATATAAATTTATGAATACTCTCCTTCAACTGTGGGGGAAATCCTGAAGTTTAAAAAGTACAGCATCCACGATTGTTAATTTAGAGTGATAATCAAAACAAAGCTCATACCAGTAGCTCACATACTGTATCTTACATGTATTTCAGTAGTATTTTAGCAGAAGAATATTTGGTTACCTTCCAGTTTGTGACTGAGGTTGTTTCTTTTACCGCAGGTTCTCATCTTACCACAGGCTTCATAGTGCCAAATACTCTGTCCAGGCTTGTTGTAGTAGTCACAGTAAATTGCTGGTATTTAGGGAGGTAAAATATAACAGATTAATTATATTTTTGCCACTTTTAAAAAATTTTTCCATAATGATCATTACATATTATGACCGATTACTTCTTAATGATAAGCATTAATAAGCAGTACAAAAATTTGTAAAAAGGTAATATTTTTAGTTTCTGGAATGTATGTGCCATAAAAATTAAATCTTTGTCGAGAAAAGGTATCATAGTTCAGCTAAATCTTAGCTAACTAGAAAATAGGTTCGAGGTTATGTAAAACTAACTGCATATGGAAAAAAGGTCCCAACTCACGACACAGGTCAGGTGTTCTCCACTTTACACAGACATCCTGGTCACTGCAGGCCTCTGCATAAGCTGCCACAGCTGTGCAGTAGCCCAGGAACTTCCCTTCAAACTCACAGGAGCAGGACTCAAGCAAGCAAGCCTGATAGTAAGGAGTTGGGTCCACCTGGGGATTTGAGAACAGCCAAAGGTGTTCTTAACATGTTTTATGTATGGTATGATATTGCAAAAAAGTTGGATACAATTAAAAAAAAACAAAAAAAAACAAAAGAAAAAACCACATACTTTCAAGTGACAGTCTTTGAAAGTGTCTCCTTTAATAATCATACAGCGCCGCTGGGCCCAGGCTGAGCAGTAGGAGTTGCGATCACATGGAAATATATCAGCAGTTACATCAGAACAAGGAGGAGTGGCTGCCTTCCAGCTGTTTCCAAAGGCCATCGGACTGGATGCCACTGAAAACAGATTTTTGTAAGTCATTTATTTGTTTATTTATTTTTGCAAAGCTTGACTTTTTGATTTATGACTGTATGATGAAACAAAAAATGAGTTTTACTCACCTGCTGAGCCACTTATCTGCAGGTCGTTCATCTCATTGGTGTCAAAATTCCCACACAGGCCACAAACTTTGCTCTGCAGGCGTTCCACAATACAGAGGTGATTAAAATGTCAACAAAGTATGCATAAAATCTTCATCATTATAACAGCAAATATGCAACTTCCAGCTGAATATTTTGTCAATAGAGAAATGTGCAGATTTCCATTGCTCACCCTCCAGTTTTCATGCAGCTTTATGGTGAGCCGTGTGTGTTTGTCCCAGATGAGAGTGATCCCGCTGCTCGGCACTGACACTATGACGTAGAGTCCCACAGTGTCGATACTGTAAAGTGAATCCTCCTGCAG